GGGCAAGTGCAGCTCCGGATGAAAAACAGTGAAGCAGGAATGGAAATGCGCCCTTGGACATTTCTTCCCGCAAGATCATCGCCATGTCTTCGTCAGCATTGCGGGCGTGGATAACCAATGGCAAGCCTGTCTGGCGCGCAGCGTCAATGTGAACGCGCAAGCCCCGCTCCTGGGCATCACGCGGTGCCTTGTCGTAATAATAGTCGAGACCGGCCTCGCCAATTGCGACACACTTTTTGTGGCTTGCCAAATCTATGATTTCATCTGCAACTATGCCGTCTTCCTCCGCGGCACGATGCGGATGTGTGCCAACAGAAAAAAATACAGGTTCAAAAGCTTCTGACAAAGCCCGGATCGGAGCGACATGGCGCACTCGCGTGCAAATCGACACCATCAGGCCGACACCGGCCGATTGAGCACGCGCAATTATTGCCTCGTGTTCGCCAGCAAAATCAGGAAAATCGAGGTGACAATGGCTGTCGACGATCATCAGCCCTGGCCTTCTGCTTTCTCAACATAACGTGGAAACACCCCTTCCGGTACAGGAAGTTGGGTTCCCGGAACAAGACTGTAGGCCGCATCAACATGGGCAAATGCGCGATTGTTTTCGGCAATAGCAACAAGGTCGAGCAGTTTGGCGGCAGATCCCGGCATGACCGGCTGGCACTGAATGGCGACCCGTCGAATAACTTCTGCGGTAACATACAAAACCGTTGCCATTCGCGCCGGATCGGTCTTGCGCAATACCCAAGGCTCCTGCGCGGCAAAGTAGCGATTGGCTTCGCCAACCACCGCCCAAATGGCACTGACAGCAGTGTGGATCGCCTGCTCTTTCATTGCCGTTCGTGCGCGTTCCATTGAGGCAATTGCCATATCGAGGATAGCCTGGTCTTCAGCCGTCAGAGCGCCCGGTTGCGGAACCTTGCCGTCGCAATTCTTGTTGATCATGGACAAGGATCTTTGTGCAAGATTGCCAAGATCATTGGCCAGATCAGCGTTGGTCCTATTGACGATCGCTTCGTGCGTATAGGTGCCGTCCTGACCAAATGCGACCTCGCGCATGAAGAAGTAGCGAACCGGATCGAGGCCATAGGTTTCGACCAGCGAAAACGGATCGACTACATTGCCGACTGATTTCGACATCTTCTCTCCGCGGTTGTAGAGAAAGCCGTGGGCAAACACCTTTTCGGGCAACGCGATGCCTGCTGACATCAGGAATGCCGGCCAGTAAACGGCATGGAACCGCACGATGTCCTTGCCAATGATGTGCATTGCCGGCCAAAACGCCCAACGCGGATTATCAAGGTCCGGATAACCGGCCGCAGTAATGTAATTGGTCAGAGCATCGACCCAGACATACATGACATGGGCGTCATTGCCCGGTACCTTGATCCCCCAGTCAAACGTTGTGCGGGAAATGGAAAGATCTCGAAGGCCGGATTTGACAAAGCTGGCTACCTCATTGCGCCGTTCAACCGGAGCGACAAATTCCGGGTTGTTTTCATAAAGTTCCAATAGCTTGTCGCCATATGCTGACAATCGGAAATAGTAGCTTTCTTCTTCAACCCATTCGACAGGCGACCCGAGCGGCTCACGCCTGATTCCATCGTCCCCGACTGTGGTTTCACCTTCATCAAAATAAGCTTCCTGGCGAACAGAGTACCAGCCGCCGTACTTGTCGAGGTAGATGTCACCATTCTGTTCCATCCGTCGCCAAAGGTGCTGCACGGAAATGCGGTGACGTTCTTCGGTGGTGCGGATGAAGTCATCATTTGAACAATTCAGGACCTCAAGCATTTGCTTGAACACTGCCGAATTGCGATCGGCAAGTTCGATCGGGGAAATGGCTTCCTTGGCTGCAGTTTGTTGCATTTTCTGACCATGCTCGTCTGTCCCGGACAAGAAAAATACATCCTTGCCATCAAGACGATGAAAGCGAGCGATCACATCAGTTGCTATCGCCGTATAGGCGTGGCCGATATGCGGAACACCGTTCGGGTAGAAAATCGGCGTGGTGATGTAGAATTTTTCAGCCATTGCATGCTCGTTTCAAAAGGAGTTTGAGGCTGCTTTAGTGCACTTCTTGTTCAATTGGAATTATGACCAACAGAATTCATGCGTGGCGAGCACCAGACTCCACAACGCCATCGTGCAGTTCACGCATGGTTTCGAGAAGGAATTGCCGCTTGTCGAGATTGTATCCCCGCGTAATGGCAAGTTTGTTTGATACTTCAGAGTGAAGTGCAGCAAGCCTGTTCGCACTGGTCAATCCGGACAGAGCGGCACCCGTTGAAAACTGTGCCAGGCGTTGCAAGAGGTGCTCGCACAATAAAAAAAACAATGGCTCGGCTTCGCGTGAGGTGAGTGCATCACCAATCTTCAACGCTGCAGCGCCCTCAAATTTCCTTGATGCCAAAACAGCATCAGCTGCAGATATAACTTCGAGTGCGCCTCCTTCTGCCAACATGGCGGCTCGGCGGGGGCTGCCGTTGGCATATGCGACAAGCGAAGCAGCATCCCGATTTCCCTCCAGATGCAGGCTTTCAATGGCATGATGCATGGATGCAACATTGAGCGGTTCAAAACGCAACTGCAGGCAGCGTGACCGTATCGTCGGCAAAATGCGGCCCTGGCTCTGGGCAATAAGAATGAACAATGTGCGCGGAGTAGGCTCTTCAAGGTTCTTTAGAAGTGCATTGGCAGCGCTGGCGTTCATGTCATTGACCGGGTCGACGATAACGATGCGCCAACCATTTCCGGGAACAGTGAAAGACAGGAAGTTGCTGATCCTTCTCGTTTCCTCAACTGTCAACTGCGTTTTGAATTTTTGGGTTTTGGGATCGAAAGGTCTGGTCAAGTGCAAAACCTGCGGATGCGCACCAACTGCAATCTGCCGACGAAGCAACGCATCGGACGCAGTATCATCCATCGAACCCGCGTCGAATACCGGATTGGCAAGGATATGGCGTGCAAATCTGAATGCCAGCGTCGCTTTGCCAATTCCTTGGGGACCAGAGAAAAGCAGTGCGTGATGCATGCGTCCGGACGCCCATGTCCTGATAAGAAAAGCCTCCTGGTCGTCATGACCGAATAACTCGCCATTCTGAGCCGGAGACAAAACACCGGGCATAGTGTCATGGTTTTCAAGTGTCTCTTCGTTCATGCCTGTCGGACCGCTAATTTGTCGACTACATGTTTCAGAACGTTCTCGGCAATTACCGATTGACTTTGGCCTGCATCAACCACCGCGCACCGATCCGGTTCGGCCTTCGCAATGGCAAGAAATGCATTCCGCCGCTCTTCATGAAGTGCCAGTTTCTCTTTCTCATAGCGATCGGCAGCTTCTCCGCGCGAAGCAGCTCGTTCGAGGCCAACAACCGGATCAAGATCCAACATGATCGTCAGATCGGGCTTCTGCCCGTCGATAGCGACACGTTCAAGATTGGCCATGAAATTCCGGTCCAGTTTACCGGTTACACCCTGATAAACACGGCTCGAGTCCATAAATCGGTCACACAGGACAATTTTCCCGGACGCTATCGCAGGGCGAATGACCTGTCTGACATGATCATTTCGGGCAGC